GACAAAAGAATATTGAACTAAGCCATGAGTTAAGCCTCACCGAGAAAAAAATATTTGCCTGAGGGCATGCAGCTGAGAAGGAGAGGCACCAGGGTTTGAACCTGGAACCCCCCAGCTCCAGAGCCCAAGCTCTTCCCTCTAATAGGAAGGATGCAGATGACTTTAGCCCCCCAGACAGCATCTGGTTGTTCTCAGCCTTCAGACATGAGTTACATTATTAAGGCAACTTGTAGCAGGTGTGTTCACTCTCTCTACTTCTCCGTTTGAAACAAATTACAAATAGAACGATAGAATTTAGTATTCTCATAGTGGATGCCTGGCTTTTCACTGTCAAGATCACCGATATGAAATTACGTGTGTGTTTAGTTTGTGCGTTTCTGTGTCATATACGTGTGTGTGCATACGTGTGTGTGCGTGCAAGTACAACCATGTGTCACTTGTGTGCATGTACCCGGAAGTATATCTAGGTCTTATGGGGCCTGAAGCTTATCATTTGGGGGACACAAAGTAGGTCTAGGCTCCTCCCGAGAGCCTGTGCAGGTGGAAGCCTTGAAGTTCAACCAGCTTCTTGGCAACTCCACTTCTGCACATACATGTGTGTACATGAACTCTGTATGTATGTGCCAGGATAACGTAGAGAAACCGACCAGAGCTATCGTCCCTTAAACAATAGCCTTGGTTCCATTGCTTACTACGATAGCAGCACCTTTTCCGGTTAGTACTTGGCGTTTCTTTTCTGGGAAGACAGAGGAGATTTATCACAAATCAAATGGGCCGAGAATTTTTTGACAGCTGCTTTTGAATTCCAGCCAGTGGTCATGAGCTAAGTTCAATACGCAGTGCTATGGCCCATGCCCTTTGTTTTCAGCAGGCAAATAAATATAACTTATTGTTAAATCTTTTTTTTTTTTAATTCCGGTGATCTGTTTGTTAATCCTACTTTTTCGATGTGATCTTCTGTGTCTGTGAACATGTTAAGAGTATAGAAAGAGAGCAGGCTGGGTGGCGAAGGGAATAGGAGATGGGGGGGGGTGGGAGAGGGTGGGAGGCCGCCTTTATTTATTTGGAAAGCTGTTGTAGACGAGACACATGTTCTGCGTCGTTCCAGAGCCAAAGCTGGGAACCGAGGTACACGGGATTGCAGGAGAGGCCAGGCTCCAACTCAACAGAAGAACTTCCTATCAACTAGAGCTGTCCAAAAATGGTTTGCTTATGTTAGTGGCCGGCTGCCCGTCGCTGGAAGAGCTCAGCCAAAGCTACTTCTTGGCAGGGGCCGGGGAGGCAGGGGACTTCTACCAAACACAAGTTTGAGTCGATCGAAGTAACCTCTAGAATCCTTGCTAGGGTTGCAAGCTGTTACCGGGCGCACACTGCTGCTGCCAGCCGTACTCAGCCAGGACTTGCACAGTAAGTCGGTTTTCCCCCCGTAGCGGGGGTGCCTTTGTGCTAAGCCAACCACATTCCCCACCCGAGCCCCTGGTTGCTGCGGAAACATGTCTGTGAACGGTCTGATCCATCTATGGCCGTACGCTACAGTCTTAGAGTTAAATTTCCGCACCTGTCAGCCAGCCGTCTCAGGTGGCACTCACGAATGTTATCTTAGGGGCTCTCATAACGGGGTTATGGTTTAGGTAAGGAACTGGCAGAATTCCACTCAATGCACCCCTCCCCTGCTTTCTTTTCGCACAGTCAGATAGGAACCTTCTCCGCCTGGCTCCCCTCGTTGGCTTTGGGATGAGAGACAGAAGAGAGCCGGCACAGAAGGCTGGGCAGGTCTGGGGCGGAGCACCTGTCGCCCGTCTGTGGGCCTGTCCACCAGGCCCCGGCGGGGGGTGGCGGAGAAGCCAAGATGGGCGAATGGGCTCCATTAATCTTTTCCCTTTCTGGAGGGGGACCATCGCAGTGCCCATGACCCACACACTCGTTCTTTGTTCTCCCTGTGAGACTGCGTTAAGGGTCTACAGGTATGCCCTCGGCCACGGTAATAGTATCGGTAATGACAAGGATGGTGGTGAGGACGGGAGCGGTCATAAACCAGCTAGTGTTTGCTGAGTTAGTACTGTTCGCTGGACGCCATGATGCGCTCTTTACGGCGATTCCCTCATCCAGTCCTTAGCATGGCTTCTAGGAGGCAGCTGTGACCGTGGCCATTTTGAAGACCTGGAAACTGAGGACTAGAGAGGGCAAAGAGTGTGCCCAAGGCACCGGTCTGACTCCAGAGAATACACTCTTCCCCTTTATGCTTTATTGCATCACTTTCTATACACACACAGGGAAATGGAAACACAAAAAAAGGAAGCAACCTGCCCGGTCTTTAACCACCTCACAGTGGGACTTCTGCAGCCGAAGGCGGGGACCTCCAAGGAGGGCTCAGTGTGGAAAACACACACCGCACCTGCCCCAGGTGCTTTGCCACGTTCCCCTCCTTGAGCCTCCCCAGCAGATTTCCAAGGTGGATGTTGTTTGCATCTCCCGGAGAAGTTCAGGGACTTGCTCAAGGTCACCTGGTGCAGAGGGGCTGGGTCGCAAGCCAGGCTGTCGCATCTGCAAGTCTGTGCCTTCCCCGCCACATCAGCCTGCCTCTCTTGAACGAACAAAGTCGAACACCCTCACACACACTAAATTTATATTTCCTGGCCTCCTCTTCCAAAATGGATACACTAATTACTGACCATTTTTTTTAGTAATAGTAATCATCAAGAACACATTTTTCAGTGTTTTCGTTTTCTCTTCTGCGTACTACCGAAATAAAGCATTGCCAAAAACCATAGGATAAAACCCAGCGGGTGCGAGGCCATGGAAATTAAGACAAGTTCAGGAAGACATTACATTAAACCCAAAGAAACAAAGTGTTGATTAGGGACTTATTTTTGTAAGCGATTAAAATATGAATCATTAAAATAGGACCGTATTTCAGGCTCTATATTCTCATCTCATCAGAGACGACATTACCATGACTACTAGGTTCAGGCCCATCTAAACGGGCTACAAGCTTCCTTAGCTCAAAAAAACGCAGTCTTGTGCACCACGGGTCTACCTTTAACAGAACATTTGTAAAAGTCTGGCTCACAGTATCTCTGTATCTTCTTACCCATTTCGTTAAAAGGAAATTCCCAAGTGACATGCCTGTTTTCAGCTCTTTAAAGTCTTTTGTTTCATTTCATTGTAATTGTAAATAGTGTCACTAAGTAATGGTCATGAGAACCAAAATTCAAAGGTAGAGGAAGGAACAGAGTCAAAGCAAAGACACAGGGGCGCCTGGGTGGCTCAGTCGGTTGAGCGTCCAACTTCGGCTCGGGTCATGATCTCACAGTTCATGGGTTCGAGCCCCGTGTCGGGCTCTGTGCTGACAGCTCGGAGCCTGGAGCCTGCTTCTGATTCTGTGTCTCCGTCTCTCTCTGTCCCTCCCCTGCTCACGCTTGGTCTCTCTCGTTCTCAAAAATAAAATAAGCATTTAAAAAAAAATTTTTTTTAAAGCAATGATATGAAGGCACGTCGGGAATCACTCAAAACACAGTATCCTCGAACTTTATTTGGTACAAAGGGTTTGCAGAAAGAAAGAAATTAATATGGAGTGTTTCTCAGGTTCAGACAGAAAAAATTACTCAGCAATAGCCCAAAATATGCAGTTAAGTTGTTCATTAAAATATCTGTTAAAAATGGCTAAAATTAGAGACAAAAGCCCATTGTCTCATGCAATTGTTGACTGCCTGCGTATGTAGATGTGGAAGGGTATAGGGGGGCAGTTAGAAGCCTGTGGTATTTTAAAGATGCATCACCACCCCTGAGGGGTTTTGAGTACCCACCTGCATTTTTGAACTTGGATCTAAGCCAAAGGGGTGGGACAAGACCATGACAGGTTTTTCTGGGTTTTTTTTTTTTTTTTAGGTTTTGTTTTGCTAATTAACTACTCAGTGGACATTTTAAACACCAAATATATCAGAACAGAGGGGCCAGGTTCAGACCGGCCTCCACCGCCCTCCTCAAGTGGCTGACATCTAAAGATGATCATCTAGAGGCTGTAGGACCTTGGAGCAATGCCTGTGTGTATTTTTAAAGGAGGGAGCATCCCAGAATGTAGCAGGTCTTTATCCGATATCTTTCACAGTTAGCCCCTCTGACCAGACTTGTGCATTTTCCGTCCTCATTCTCTTCCTGTCTGGGGTTGGGATGAGTTTGAAAGGCTTCCCCACCCCCACCCCCCCCACCGTCAGAAGATCTCTGTGAAAAATCTATAAATTAACAGTGGAACATTAAAAATGTCCATACTTAATGACTTCATAATTCTTCTTTGGTTAATCTGAAACGCAAGGAAAGATTGATAGGAAAATATCTTTTCGCAAGAATAGCAGCAATAAGTTGGAATCGTTGAAATGTCCAGTGAAGTCCAGTACCTCCCTGTGATCGGCTATCATTTTGCAGCCAGGGGAGCCGTTCCATAATGTGGAGAGAAAAAGAGGCCTACAAAACTCTAGTAGAAGCCTGATTCTAACTATAAAACCATAGGTAGAGGAGCGCCTGGGTGGCTCAGTTGGTTAAGCCTCTGACTTCGTCTCAGGTCATGATCTCACAGCTTGTGGGTTTGAGCCCTGCATCAGGCTCTGTGCTGATGGCTCAAAGCCCAGAGCCTGCTTCAGATTCTCTCTCTCTTTTTCTCTCTCTCTCTCTCAAAAAATAAATAAGTAAACATTAAAAAAAAAACATAGGTAGTAATAACAGGACTTCTTTCTCTTAGTGATAGAATTATAGGTGATTCTCGTCTTGTTTTTGGCATTTTTTAAAACGCTTTTTGTATATTACTTTCATAATTTAAAAAGTCCAATTAAAAAGCGATCACATGGCTCCAAACTTAGGAGTTGCCCCTGTGTGCTCTGGGAGGTGACACGCACATCTGGCTGATTCTTATGTCGTTAGTCCAGTGCCACCCATAGATCAAAGCTCAGTTGGTGCTAACTAAAATGTTCCCTTTGCTCTAGTTCTCTTTTCCGTTTTCTTCCCAGGTGACGTGCTCTATGAACTCCTTCAGCATATTCTGAAGCAGAGGAAACCTCGGATTCTTTTCTCGCCCTTCTTCCACCCCGGAAACTCTATACACACACAGCCAGAAGTCCTACTGCATCAGAACCATGAAGAAGGTACCAGAAGGAGCCTTTTCTTTCCTTTCATGAGGGTTGGACAACCCAAAAGGTTTCAGCGTTTCTTTGATGCGTTGTTCCTATTCATGTGATTGGTCCGTCATTGAACAAACATGTTCTGAACGCTCACTATGTAGAGGACATTGAGGGGAATGCCAAGATGAATGAGATGTAATCTTGGTTCTCTGCAACTCATAACCTAGGTAAAGAAATGAGATACATAGATACATATATATCAAAGCACAGCTATAATAGTAGGCACCATGAAGAGAGAGTGGGAGGGGAAATTACATCGAGGCACGAGCATCAGGGGCAGCCTCGTAAAGCAGTTGGTTCTAGAGGCTTCCTTGATGGTCCAGCAGATTTCTGATAAGCAAGAATGAAGTAGGGAGCACTCTAGGCCAAAGAGGTAGGATGGAGTGAGCCCCCGGGACAGAGAGCCATCAGATGACTTGGGTTATAGAGCTTATCTTCCCCCCCATCCCACTACCACCAGCCTTTTGTTCTAGAAAATGTCAGACAATAGAGATGTCTCCCAAATAGAGAAGATGAAGTAAATAAACCCTGTGAGCCCTCACCCTGTTTCAGCACTTGGCTTTTGCAGAGCTAGTCCAAGGAGGTTATATTGGACCCTGAGTGTAGAGGCGTTTTGTGAAGGAGAGTCATGGGGTGTCTTTGAAAATTTCTGAGGAGAGGATGCTAAGAGCCAGGGGACTCCGACCCCGTGAACTCCGGGGGGCCAGGGGTCTGTGCACCAGAGGTGGTTCCTTGCGGAGTGCTCGGGCTAAGCCGTGTGCCCAGTGCTTCTCTTCTCCAGTAGGCCCCCGGGGTCATAAAATCATCGGTGGAAAACAAAACAACAACAAAAAGGCCAAATTGACCTGTGGCCCCGGACCTTGTTCCAAAGCAGGTGTTTGGGTGCAGAAATCCATTATTAAAATCTTACTTTGTGTGCCGTTCTATTGAACACATGATACCCCGTGCCCCTGAGGAACATTATGTCCGTGTTGTTCCCTGCACGGATCAGCCAGACCACAGACGTGGGGACCCAGAGTAACACTTTGAAACGTGTGCTCTTTCTCAGGACCTGATTTACGAAGGGCCTAAAACCCCTGGTTCCTTGGGGGTATTTCCCTAAATTGGGCGTCTTCGAGAGCAGGGCTGATATTTTGGTTTTGTTGTTGGCACACTGAAAAAATGAGAAGTTATTTGTTTTCTTAATTAATACTTCACAAAAGAGAGCCTGACTCCCGGCCGGCCACCGCCATCCCCTTCCTGGTGCCAAGTACTTCACAGCAGGGCCCCTTGCTTTCCTGATGGAGAGTAAATGAGCGTCTCCTGCTCCCTGCCTGTTTCTCTCTCGTCCTCTCTTCCTCCAGCTTTACTCTGGCTGAATTTAGCAGCTGCCTACCCACCCCCCGCCTCACCCCCACCCCCCCAACAATTCGGGTTCTCCGTTCTTTTGCTCTTCCTGCCTTGTACATTTCCGGCTTGCATCATCGCCAGCAGCTATTCCAGAGACGAGGAGGTGGGTTTACTGAAGCTTGACATTAAGGCAAAAATCGAATTACCTAGTTTGCCTCTTCAGATACAAAAGGTGCGGGATGAGCTTCCCCCCCCCCCCCGTTCCCCTCTTTCTCTCCTGTAATCATTATTTAAAAAAAAAATCCCATTTGGAATTCCTGTTCCTCTTTTTATTCACCAAATGTGATTGGGGGCTTAATGGTCTCTCATCACAAATCCTTCCTCCTTTCTCCTTGGTCTGATTTGACTCAGAAGTTGGTGTCTTTGATGTTGGTCTCATTTGCCGGAGCTAATCAATAGAGAGAGCCGGGCTTACTCCCTCTCAGAGCTGTCGCCCGGCCAAGTAAATGCAGACGCACCGCTGCATATGCCGTAATGAGCTGTGCTCTCGAGTGTTACACTGGTGGTGATGGCGACTCAGTAGGAAAAAGAATGGAGTTAATGAGACCAAGGTCAAGGGCTTCATCACCCTGCGGACCAGTGATGAGCTCTGCCTCAGACCTAGCTCTTAAAAGGAGTGTGTTCTCAGAGACCATTCCTTAAAGCTGTCAGCCAGGAAACAACACCTGAGGGCACCTGCCTGTTCAGACGCAGGGCATTCTCTCGGGTGAACAGGTAGACACTCGAGAAGGGCAGGTTAGGTCTTTATCAGATGGTATCAAATGAGAAGCGCTTTACAAGGCTGTGATGTAAAGGGGCTGCCTGTCCCCAGACTGCCGCTGGTAACAAGGGGACCCTTTAGTAAGGGGAACAGACCAGTACCAGCTCCCCACCTCCAAACACCTCCCACCTCATTCCCTTTTCTCCACCAAAAAGAAAAACACACCCAGCGCAGCATGCATCATCTCTGTTAGGCTTACTTGTGAACCGTCAAACACTAATACAGACACCTGTTAACACACAGAGAGATCTGGTCCTGAAAAAGAAAAGAGGCTCTAAAGTGAAATTATACACAGCGAATACTCTAACCCCCAATGATCCGTTTCACATAATTGGGGATACAGTCCTTCGCAAAAGTATGTTGCTGTTGACTCGACACAGAGCTAATATGATAGAATAGAAGGACGACAGGGACATTCCAGAGGAGAACCGATCCGCCCCTCAACAGCCTGACACAGTGAGGCACAAAGACACCGTTTCATTCACCCCGCCTCCCACACCCGCACCCCGCGACTTCACCTCATCGCTGCCACCGACTTTACCGATTCAGACATTCGTCGTTTCACAATGGGAATTGATATCACCATACAAACAGATCTTGTTGAAGCTAGCGACTGTCCCCCACAGATCTCCCGTCTGAGTACGTGACATCGAAACCACCCCGAGCAGGCGGGACAGTGGCAGAAGCTAGGAGGCGGGTGTTACGGCTCCAGGGCTTCCCTCTCCAGGCTCTGAGGGGAACGCAGCGTTATACGTTATGATTTCTCATTCATAGTGAGGCATTGTGACAGTGAAACAGGACTCTCCCAGCAAGCGTGCCGGACAACGGGCAGAAGCCAGGACCACCCCCAGATAAGCCGGCATGAGCGGTCAGCTTAGATAAAATTTTTGAAAGGACAGGATTTGGGAGTCAGGAAACCAGGCTCTAATCCTCTATCCTGCCAAAGCTTAAGGGCTGAGTTACTCTTCTCTGGCCCTCAGTTTCCCGTCACAAGACAGGGGTTAGCCTGAACGGTCTCGGATCTCCTGCACTCTCCAATCCTACGTTCCCTCCAAAGTCTGGGTCTCCCTGGGTGATAAGAAGATGACTAAGACACACGCTCTACCTTCAGGGCCTTTGGCAACTAAAATCCAGAAAAACGTTGCTCAGAAACAGTTGAACATCACTTCTGTCTTCATTTGTCTCACCTTACCAAGAACTGCTGATAATATTACCCTTCCTAGTAGTCAGACCAAGAGCGGCACCGTTCCTTTATCTCGTGACGAAAGCTGCAGCTTAAGTGGATTCCTTTTCTTTGATTGTTGTGACTCATTATATCTGCATGCTCTGAATGAGTTAGGTGTGAGGCAGATCGTGATGTAGGAGGGAGACAACCCAAAACACGATAGCGCTTCTTTCACCAAAACCAGGAGGTAACACGTCTTCAGAAATGTTGAGTCAGTAAATGGCGATAAAATAAATTTATTTGGCCACACACGGTTATATCAACTTCTTTTGACGCCTTAGGTTCTAAAATCAGTTACTTGCAGCTTCCATGGAGTAATTACAAAGAAAGGCTTTGTCCCAAAGTGCATATCTGATGGTCAATAGGCCTTTGGTGGTAAAACTTCTTGAATAGTGAAGTTCCCTAAAAGGTCAGCAAGCAACTTCAAATGTGCTTCCAGCTGGACCAGTCTCCACATGAGGCTCTGCAGAGTCGCCCCCGTAGGGCTGGTTCTGCACAAGTCTGTAGAGACGGAAAACAAGATGTGTGTTTATCACGTGCTTTCATCCGGTGACCCCTCTGGGCATCTTCCTCCACTTTCAGCTCTGTAGTCCCACCCATCTCCTCTGCCCCATCTAAGAGACTGGGAGATGGTTTTTAATCACTTTAATTTTAATTTTTCTTAATGTTTATTCCTTTTTGTGAGAGACACACAGAGAGGGCGAGCGGGGGAGGTGCAGAGAGAGAGGGAGGTACAGAATCCGAAGCAGGCTCCCGGCTCTGAGCTGTCAGCACAGAGCCCAACACAGGGCTCGAACTCCCAGACCTTGAGATCATGACCAGAGCCGAAGTCAGCCACGTCACCGACTGAGCCACCCGGGCGCCCCTAATCCCTTTAACTGGAAAATAGTCACACATGCAGGGCTGTGATTGTTTCTGCAACAGTGGACACACTTTTAAGACACAGGTTTTGCTTGGGAGCAACTCTGTGTCACCAGGTGGACACGGACATCGTAAGTGGTGAGGAATTCCAAGTGTCAGAACAGTTGACCTTGATCCTCTGTACAACCAGCACATAGTGATGGCCCAGAGAATAGAGAGAAGTCATTTCTTTGTGGGGAGTGAGGGGGGTCGCTCACTGCATTCTGGGATAGCCCAAAGATTTTCATGTATGTGATTGCTTTATGGCAAGAAATGTTTCCCTTCCACCCTCAGTCGCCTCTACCACCAAATCCAAGTGCCCAAAGACTGCTCTGGAGGAAGAAAATCTTACTACACAATTCTAAGGAGATAATTAAAGAAGACAAGATCTGTGAATCTGCTTCATAGAAAATAATAGCTGACGTTTTGTGGGTCTTTGCTGTGTCCCTGGCCCTGTTCTAAGCTCTTACGTGTCTAAGCCATTTCATCTTCACAACTACCCTATAAAGAAGGCAGTGTCATCCCCACCGGATGGATGAGGAACTAGGAGCTAAGAGCCTCCAGATTACACAGCTCCCAAGTACCCTGGGTCCGCTTAACTCTGATGCCCGTGTTCATTCCATTGCAGCCTGAAAGAGCTAACCAAATAACATTTTTAATCATGTGTTTTGTGCACATTAATTCCTGGAA